TCGTCATCGTCAGAGGGGTGCAAAGTCCGCGTGGCCAGTCCCGGGGTGGCCAACAAACGGCTCTCTGTCGCCCTCCAGGTCTCCCGCTCCTGCATGGCCCTGCGCAGGGCCCGCACGACTCTCCCCCACGACTCTAGGCTTCTCCCACAGCCCGAGGACATCGTCTCCTCAGTTAACGCTTTAGTGCACTTATCCCACACTTCGGGGTGGAGAATATCCACCAGCTGGTCAATGACCCCAATTCGCAAAGGCCTCGCAATAGCGAGAGTAAAATCTTTGGGCTTACAATCGATACCCCACTGCTTATCTAACTGTGATATGACCTTCACAAGGACTTCCATCCTCCTTGTTGGTCCTGGAGCGTCCTCCCCGCCGGGCTGGTCCTGCTGCTCCGGCCGCTGTTCACCCGTCCAGGCGACAATCCTGGGTTTCGGCACCACTTGTTGTGATTTGCAGAATCAAACTCTCTAACCCACGTAAGATTATAAGAGCAGGTACGTCTTTATTTCAGCGCTGCGCCACACGCCGGGTGCAAGGGGGATCGCTCCTCCTAACTTGCACGCCGGAAAGTGAGATCCCGTTACATTTATAAGTCTATCCATACATATTCAGGAGTGTTACCCAAGACTCACTAACATATTCATCACCTTTCCGGGAGTTCATTTACATACTGTCCCCCTCCCCAGTGCATGCGCAGCAGCATCCATTGGATGAAGGCCCGATGTCTTCCTCCCCCTCTGGTGGTCGTTCCGGGATGAAGTCAGACGTCTTCCTCGCCATATCCTTTCGACCTTTGTCCCAGTTTTGGGCTCTTCTCCCGTCCTGCATACCTCAGCAATCTGTGATTCTGCCTATCCTTGCCTCCCCCTCACATTCTCAGGGGCCCTTTCTGCTGACTAGAGACGGCTGTCTGTTGGGAGCGTATTTTGGGCTAGCAAAGGTTAAGCAATAAGTTCCCCTTGAGCTAACAAGAGGTTAAACTAAGAAACGAATTCCCTAAGCTAAGCAATAAATTCCTCCTGAGTTAGCAAGAAGGGTTAAATTACGTGATGCTAATTTCTTTGAGTTAGTAAAACCAAGCAATGTTACAGACCCCTTTTCATCTTTCCCACTTTACTGTCTCAGCCCCACGGGTTGCTTACTTTTTATTCACAAGCTGAAACAGAAGGAATTGATGGCAGCTATGTGCTAAGAAAAGATACTGATTGTTGTCGTACCAAAAAAAAAATCCAAAACCACCACCACCACCACCAAGCACAACAGAACCCTAACCCCAAACACTTTTAGCTCTGATTTATATAATGGTAAACAGGAATAGCAACGTCACTCAGACAAGTTAGTAACTATAAGATCAAATTCTGTTGTTTCTGAACACTTTTTCCAGTTCTTATTCAGGCAATTGGTAAAGACTGCTAAAGCTTCAGAAGGAAAACAGAATTAAGGTGTCTGGAACCTAATTCTTTGACCATGGACCAATTTCAGTGTAATGCAGCTGATGTCAAGGTGACAAACTCTGCAAGAAGAGGTAATATATTTTATTAAACCAACTGATATATGCCAACTGAATTATGCTTGCTTTATACAAGTAAAATTGCTCCTACAGTCTTAGATGAAAACTCTGGCCTTCACTCTGCTCCCATTTACACTGATGCAAGTCAAAGGTAATTTCATTATAACTAATATAAACACATTACAGACAAGGCAATTACATCTGTAAGATATTGGTGTGAGCTGAACCCCTCTCTCTGACATTTCTGCTAATGTCTGAAATGAAATAATGATGTAAAATGTGATATTTTTAAAATGTTAAACCTGTGGATGAGAGGTTCATGTGCACAATGATGCTGAGCATTGGTAAATTGGACTTAGTAACACCTAGAAAACACCAATGGATAAATTGAGGAATGCGATTCTAGGTAAAATTATCTTGAGAAAGGGGTAAAGAAATCTCCTAATGTCATACATGTAATGTGGGTAAAAGTGATTTTAAAGGTACACATTTGCAAAAGAATTGGCCTGTATGTGCCTATTTGAGTTTCCTTTTGGCATAGCTCTCTGTCTCTGCAGTGGTCCCATAGGTGACTGGTGCAGTGGATGAGAAGCAGCAGAGTATATGTTTATCTCTGCAATTTTTTGCTTCCTTTCCTTACAATGGGAGGATAGGGAGGAGGAGTGAAACCATCTGTGCTTCCCTATTCTTTCTAGTTTGGAGCAATACTCTACTAAGTCCCTCTGAAATCTACAGACACATTATGATACTGATTAGTTCATCATTGTGAAAATGATTTGGCCACTTTGGACTATATTTTATTTGAGTACTCAAGGAAGCATGCATTTTACCAGATATACCTCAAATTACTAAAATGTTATTAAAAAAAAAAAAAAAGTGAAAAGAAAATGTACATTTCTGTTTTCCTACCTCCAATCCATTTATTTTTCAGTCTGAGATCTTTCTCACAAGAGAAAGTGCTGTTCTTTTAGCCCTTTATCCTCACTGTGTCATATATTATTAATGAAGAAAGACCTTGCTGTTCATGTGCTGCATCAGCCTCTACTATGTTGATTTTTTTTCTTCGTTCATTTAAAGAAAACAAATTCACATCTATGCCTCTGCTTCATCCGGGAGTGAATGGATTGTAAAAGGAACAAGGCTGTGGTTTAGCAATTAGGGCTCAGGACTCAAAGTCACTGAGGTTACAGTTCTGGGGGAGATTTGCCATTGTTTGTTCTGATGAAGTTCCTCCTAAATGAGGTGATTATTGTAGCTGTCAGGAATTAAAAGGTAGGACACATTGATTTTATCCCCACTGCAATCTCCAGGACGTGCCGGTACAGAGCAGTCAATGTGAATTGCCAATTAAGAAAAAAACAATATTGGCAAGTTTGAGGAAAAAACTCCCTCCAGCCAGTGCATAACACTCCTGCCATTCAAATCACCATCCTCAAGCAAAAGCATTAGCAAACCTGCCCAGAAAATTGACAAAGATAAGCTTTTTTTGGCGAAGCTAGATAGCAAATTGTAGCACTGAGAGCCTGTCTGCACAGGGGAAATGGAGCAGAACTGCTATAAAGGAATACACTTCATGTGCACAACCTATCTCAAGATAAAAATCATTCTGCTTTGGAATAATTTTTTTCTGCTGTGAAAACACAGCAGTTATTCAGGAATGTCTTTTATTTCAGAATCAAAGTGCCTACACTTTAACATATTCTGCCATTTTTCTAATGAAAATAGATACAGCCATTGATAATATAAAGATGCTTCCACAATAGCTACTGTGGAAATCTTCGCCTTGAAAATAAGACCTGGAAATACCATGTTTTCAATTACCTTGTATTTCAAATACAGCGTGCATAAATGGGTACAGTTAACTCACATGGAAATTTCAGCAGTTTTCCTGCAATTAAAAATAATTAATGCGTGGCTTTGGGCTGAAGAAACAGGTCCAGAATAGCAGCCAGGAATAGCGTCTTTGACATGATGGAGTGAACTTGGTTTAGAGAATTCCTAGTGGCTATTAGTATCTGGATATCTATTACTACACTTGGTAGATAATTTCTACTCTTGTGACAACAAACCTGAGTCCTGAGTGGTGCTTTCAATGTGAGATCTAAGAGTAGTTAGGGGAGATATCTTTACTCTTCGTTTGCAAATAGGGAAAGGCAGGTAACAGTGGTAAGATAACATTTTTGATGCTGCCCAGAAAAATGACCTTTTATTTTCTAACCTCTGAATACATAGCATACACTTCCCTTTTTCTATTTTTTAAGGGAGATGGTACTGTGGCAGGACATGCAGCTTATGGATAGTAAAACAAACAGACTTGACAAGGAGTTTGGCCTTCAGTAAGCATCAAAGATCCAGAAAGCTCCCACCTGAATCTGGCTTATCATGGAATGGCTTGAAGTGGAAAGGACCTTAAGGAACATTTAGTTCCAATTCCTAGCTGCGCAAATGGGTGGGCATGAAATTCAAACATAGAGGCACTGATGTTCTGGTAACTCCTTACAGATGTAATTGCAGTCTGTCGGTCCAAGGCCTCACCATGCTTTATAGGGCTGCAGTCAGATATTCAGCTCAAAAATCTGATCATGTCTCTGTCCCAGACTTCTATCAGCCCTCTTACCAGAGGAAAACATCCCTCTCTTCAATCATACCTTAATGACATCCTCCCTTTTTGATGTACATTTATGAACAACTGCTTAGAAGAATAAAATTTCATCAGAAATCTATGACCAACACCTGCATCAAACCAGAGCGACGCGTTACTTTCACACACAAAAAGGCCAAATATCCCCTAGTTTAACGTTTTTGCTGCTCACTCTGGATTGTATAACACTGTACTCTTAGTGATGACATGTTTTGTGTGTTTAAAATCCTACGTGCAACCACAGCTGCCCCACTTGGCTGAGCCCACCCAGTGCCTCCATTCTGGGCTCCTGTCAGGGGAGTGGGCAGACGTGGCCCTTTAAGCTTTAACCCAATCACATTAATATCCAGAACAAAAAATGCATTCCCCGGTGAAAACAGCTGTTAAAAAGAGGTGACTCTTCTTATTCAGCGGGGTTTTAGAAAGGTAAGTCAAGCTGAGAGCAGCGGGGAGGAACTGGGAAGAGCCACAACCCTGAGTCAGCCTGAGGCTGAAGCAGCGCCACAAAAACTACAGCTCCCAGAAGGCACCGCGGCGCCCCCGCACGATGCATAGAAGCTTGATACCTCCCGCCCTGCCTTCCCCAGCCTTCTACTGGGTGGAAGCCCGCTTCCCTTTCTTCTGATTGGTTGCAGTGCCAGCAGGGGCGGTTGCTCTGTGTTTGAAGGGGGCGCAAGATGGCGGCGGGCGAGGCGGTGGGACGCTACCGGAGCAGCATGAGCAGGAGCAAGGACCCTTCGGGGCTGCTCATCTCTGTGATCAGGTATGGGCGGCGCGGCTCTGCTCCGCAGCCTCCCGGCCCGCTCTCAGGACCGAGCTCGGGCTGTATGCGGGCCTTGTGGTGCTGTGAGGGCCTGCAGAGCTCGGGGTCGTTGCAGGGCCCGGACAGCTGTGAGGAGGGCTCTGGGCTGGAGTGGGGCCTCCTCTGCTTGTGCCCTCATGAGCCCTCATCTGCTGTGCTGCGTTCAGCTCAGGGCCCCCCCGGCGTAAGGAGGGAATACAGAGGAAGCTATGAAGGTACTCAGAGGATGGAGCACTTCTCCTATGAGTAAATGCTGAGAGAGATGGGGCTGTTCAGCCCGGGGAAGAGAAAACTCCAGGGAGACCAAATAGTGTCCTTCCTTCCAGCACCTAAATGCAGCCTGCAGGAAATTGGGAATAGTCCCTCTGTTAGGAAATGTAGTGACAGCGCAAGGGGTAATGGGTTCACACAGAAAAGAGGTGGGTATAGATTAGGGATCTGGAAGAAATTCTTTACAATGAAGGTGGTGAGGCCACAGTACAGCTGCCCATAGAAACCATGGGTGCCCCATCCTTGGAGGTGTTTAGGGCCAGGTTGGGTAGTGCTCACTTTGGGCATTCTGATCCTGCTCTAATTGTCCATACCCATGGCAGGAAGTTGGAAGTAGGAAATTTTTGAAGTGTTTTCCAACCCAAGACATTCTGTGATTCCACTGTTTTCAGCATCCAGAGGTCGGAGGAGTGATGCCTGCAGTGAGCACCAGCCTTGTGCCATACTGGGAGAGTCAAGTCACAGTCTCCCTACTGCTGTAGAATCTGTAGTTTACTCTCATCTGCCAACACACAGCAGTACTGAGTATAAAATAAGGCTGGTTGAAAATAAGGCTTGACTAGGAAGTCCAGTATGTGTTCAGGTTGGATATTAGGAAGCACTGGAACAGGCTGCTCAGGAAGGTGGTGGAGTTCCTGGAGGTGTTCAGGAAACATGGAGGTTTGGCACCGGGGGACATTGTTTAGTGGGCATGGTGGGGATAGGTTGGTGGTTGGACTAAATGATCTTAGTGGTCTTTTCCAGCCTTAATGGTTCTGTTGTTCTATGACTCCATCCTATTTTAGGATGTGTGAGTGGAAAAAGTGCCACCTCAGCTTGTCTCACTGCCTCGCAGGAGTGACAAGAAAGCAGTTGTCTAGTCATGTTCTGATTATTGATTTTTGTCTGCCCTTGTTCCTACGCTTTCCTCTCCTGAAATCTGATTCTGTGATTATCTTGGAGCCAAGCAAGACCTGGCATTTTGCTATTTCCCTCGATGCCTTTTCTAAGTGCTTGTAAGTCTTTTTTGGGTAGCTTCCACTCAGTGAGTTGGCAGCTGATTTCCCACACTTAAGCTTTGAAATACTGGTTTTATATACACTTTCCAAGGTGGGTGTAGGCAGCAGGCAGTCCTACTACAGTGATATTGTGCCTTGTAATGAACTTACGAACTTCAGTTCCTACTTTGCAAGAAACTACATTGCTAGAAACTGTAGTTATTCTACTTTGGAGAAGTTATATTAGTAATGATTCAGTATCCAGCACGTGTAATGATGTATTGAAGTACTGTATGAATCATAGTGTTTAGGGCTGAATTCTATTCCTTTTCATTATTTCTGGAAGCTGGTCTTTCAGATCTTGCAAACTCGAGGTAGATGGCAACCAAACAAAGCATCTGCTTCACTGCTCTGCTTGGCCTTCTCACGATCATGACTGCGGTCTTGGAAGTGTGTGCTAATAGGTAACAAAGCATCGTGCTGAAAAATGAATAAAAGGTGATGCTAACACAGGCTTACAACTGTTTTGCTTGTTAGTTTTATGTGGAAAAACAGCTGTAAAAAAAAAAATATATATATATATGTATTTAAATTGGAGTTACATGTATATGTAATGCAAACTATTTTGGAGATAAGTCTATATACACTGATGGTAGTAGTGTAGTGTAGTGTATGTTGACAGCTTTTTAGTTCGTGTATAACAAGTGGTGAATAGCCAAGTATGTGTCTATGAAAATTTTATATCCAGCCCTATGTACTCTCATGGGTGCAATTGTTTGAGTTTACGTGGAATGCTTGTATAATATATAACATGGGTAGTTGTGAAAAAAGCATCACAAAAATCAGGCGTCTTACCTGGATCCTGATTTTTTTT